ATAAGCAAAGCAAAATCCCTCCTAAGTTGCTTTAGTCTGGTGTTTTGCCACGGCAATCCTTGTGACCCACGTGTGCCGCAGTTTTCTTATCCCCTATCTGGTTGGCAGGATGCACATGTATGTTTGCACACCAGCAATTCCCTAAGGACAACCAGCACCTCAGGCTTTCACAAAGGAAACTTGCTATTGGCTTGATTCAGCACTAATTACACATAATGCAGTGGGATGGAGAATTGATCCTGCCTTGGGTCTCTGGCTTTTCCATTATGAAGCATGAGCTTGCTAAAAGCTTAGGGCTATTAGTATATTAATGGAGATCTGATGGAAAGCCTGAAGAGTTGGCCAGAGAATTAATAGGCCTGTGTTTCTGGTAGGTACCTTGTTCAGCCAAGAGTGAGGAATATGCAAGAATTTCTGCACTACTTTTTCTTTGACACATGTTCTAGGGGCTCTGGACTCTTGTGAAGTTGTTAAGTTTTGGTTTGGGAGTACCCAGTTCAATCTTGGCTTGGTGGTTCAAGCTGGTAATCCCAGTTATATGGAAAACTGAGACAGGAGGCTAACAAGTTTAAGGCAACTTAATGAGACCATGTCTCCAAATGGCAAGTTAAAAGCAGCTGGGGTACAGCACTTCCTGAACATGACGTGTAAGGCCCAGGGTTACTCTCTGGTACTGAAAAAAAAAGATGCCTCATTCATGGAAAAGATGAGAGAACAATTCACACCTCATACTTATTCATCATTTTATGTTTTGAAAGCAGCAAGTGATTTTAATAAGAATGACAACTAATGTGGCCATTTGAAAGCTCACACATTGTCTTAGTAACTTTTCAATTGCTGTGGCAAAACACCATGACCAAGACAACAGGAAGAAGACTTTATTGGAGGCTTACGGTTTCAGAGGGTGAGTCCATGGTCGTCATGGTGAAGAGCATGAGAGCAGGCAGGTAGGCACTGTGCTGGGGCAGTAGGTGAGCGTTCACATGTAGACCCACAAGTACGAGGCAGAAAGAACTAGCTGGGAATGGTATGGACCTTTGGAACCTTTAAGGCTGTCCCCAGTGATAGACCTCCTTCCACAAGGTCACATTTTCTGTCTTGGTCACCACTGCTATTGCTGTGATGAAACATCACGACAATAGCAACTTGGGCAGGAAAGGGTTTATTTGGGTTACACCTCTGTGTCACTACTCATTGAAGGGAATCAGAACAGAAACTCAAACAGGGCAGGGACCGATAGCCAGGAGCAGATGCACAGGCCATGGAGGGATGCTGTTTACTGACTTGCTTCGTTTGACTTGCTCAGCCTGATTTCTTATGGAACCCAGAACCACCCACAATGGGCTGTGCTCTCCCCATCCATCACTAATGGAGGCACTGTTCTCAATTGACGTCCCTCTTTTTTAGGTAACTCTAGCTTGTGTTAAGTTGACAAAAAACTAGCCTGCACAAGTTTTTGGAGATGTGGTTTCTCTGTGTAACATCCCTGGCTGTCCTGGAACTCACTTTGTAGACCAGGCTGGCCTCAAACTCAGAGATCCATCTGCCTTTACCTCCAGGTGCTGGGATTAAAGGAGTGTGCCACTACTGCCTGGTACCAGCACACCTTCTTATCTTTTCCAAACAAACAGTTCCACCAATTTGGGGCCAAGCATGTAAATATATGAGCATATGGGACCACTGTCATTCAAACCACATTTAGTCCTTACTCTGCACAATGACTGAATCACTTATTTAACAGAACTAAGCCAAGAGGCCAGCTGCTAGCAGCCAAAAGGTCAGATTCAATGCCTGACGTAAGGTAGAAGACACAGGAATGCCTCGGAGCTGGTGTTCTTTATGCCCTGATTTACAAACCTCTGCTAAACCTTAATTATAAATCCTTTTATGGTGTCTCAAGTGGTTTTGGTTAGATTTTTGAGAGAGAGCGCCAAATCCTAACCACTAGACCACCAGGGAATGGTTAGATTTTTGAAGTAGGGTTTGACCACATAGTCCAGGCTGGCCTGGAGCTCACAACCCTCCTACCTCAGCCTAAGTACTGAGGTTACAAGTGTGTGCCGCCATGCTTGGCTTCAAGTATTTTCAACTTATTTTCTCTAAAGTAATTTCCACTAGTATTTTGATTGGTTGAACTTAGAGCTAAATTCCAATTGATTCAGTACTTATAGATAACTCTTAATTGTGGCAAAAAATCAACAATTTTACCAATCACTGAATGAGTAATGCCCAGTGTAGGCCTGGGGATATAGTTCAGTTGGTAGGGTGCTTGCTTCGTATGTATAAGGTCTCAGGTTCTAGGTCTGAGTCCTAACCTCAGTACTGGAAAAACAAAAACAAACAAAAAATGAGCAAAAAAAAACAATGAACTTATTGATTGCTTACTATTTACTGGTTACCCTAATAAAGTTTGTGTACAGGTTTTTGTTTCAATTCATGTACTGGGGATTGAACCTAGGACCTGTGGACTCCCTGCCACTTAGCTCCAGCTCCAGCCCCATCGCATGAAGTTTTAATCTTTCACCAATCTGATTTCCTTTGGTGACTGAGGATGCTGCTAAACAGTTGCTGTATTGAAAAATTATTTCTGCTATCCATCTTGAAGTGCAATTAAGAGAATTAGCTGTATGGGAAAAGCCTTAAATTGCAGCTGCTGGATTTTAATTTTAGCAGGTTTTAAGTCTGGAGTTTGTATTTCAAAGTTTTCTTACAATCAGTTCATATACTTGTGGCATCTCTCCTGATCTTTAATTCACCCTGGGAATTTCAGTTTCCGATGATACCTTATCAGTTGGAGTAGTTTAACCAGTCCCTTCAGAGAATTTTGTCTGTCATATAGTCTACATCTTAAGTATTTCCACCCAAGAGCTCAAGTACTGTCGTTACATATCCATCTACTTTATGTTATTCATTGATATAGATTTTACTATTCCAGGAAGAGGGCAGTCAGTATATTTAACAAATAATGAAACACAAGGTATAATTCAGTTACAATGAAAACAACCGCAAATTCCTTTCTTCCATGTCAGATTCTATAATATACATTTGTATGATTTATTCATGAATAGTACAGATATTTTCAAATAAATATTTTACATTTTATCAGATTTTGTATTGATTTTTTCCACACTGGCTAAATTGTGATCACCGCTTTCTGTTCTAGATCTAAAAATAAAACAGAAAAAAGACAGTTACTTTTATCTTTAAAAGGTTCATAAAACTAGGGAAAATACTTTCTAGAAATCAGTAAGAAAATAGGGAACTCAGAGGGAAATGGGCAAGAGAGTTAAGGACTTCCCTACAGAAGAAGATGCTCAAACATTTGAGCAATAATCACACTTGAAAGATGCTGAGTCTCAGTGGTTATTACAAAATGAAAATTCAAACTTTCTGCCATATGCTATAATGGGTAGTATATGGGTAAATACAAGAGATGTAGAATACCAAGTGTTGTTGATGATAGCACTCTCTTGCTCTATGGTGGCAGTACATAGTTCATCATTTTGGAATTCTAGTTAGTATTTACTGAAGCTGAAAAATACCTATTCCTTGGGGCCCCACCCCCACTGGAGGAGACAATGGCCATTGATGGATGCTGAAGGAGGGTCACTCTTCTTTGGGGGATGTAGCCACTGGTAAGTTGCTCATGTCCCAGTTGATAGTCGCACATATACGCATATGGGCAGCACAATTGGATTCAGGGTTATTAATAACAAAAATTGAACACAACGGAAGGACATGAAGTTGGGATGGAGATGGGGTGGAGGTGTTGGAGGAAGGTAGTGGTGGACAGATATATTAATGTATGCTGTATAAATATATAACTCTCAAAGAATAAACTTATTTTTTAAAAAGCCATTCCTGGGATCCAGAGTTTCTCCTTCTAGGTATCTAACTAAACTCATTTAATCACACATGGTCACTAGAAGGTAATGGGGACTAACTATAGTAGTTCCTAACTGGGAAACACACACCTATCCACCACTAGTGGAATGAGTAAGTCCACACAATGGAATACAGCAAAGAGAACTCAGTTACGACTATTAGGAGAATATGGATGAATCCTAAAACTGAATAACAGAAACAATACATAACGTGACTCATCCTTTGTTATTATTCTGTCGATTTTGTGAGCACATACAAACAACATGTGAAGGTAGAATTATTTCCTAATTTTGAGGGGCAAACAGTTCCTATTGTGCTCTATGTACACCCCAAACTATATGCTTATGTGAGTCATGTGAGTATGATTTGTTTGCTTTTAAAGTTGTGTAACACTTTAACAAAATTATAAAGGTAATTTTCATCTCAGACATTAGAGATAATTTTACATAAAGTGAATTAAGGCCAGGACTGGAGCCAGTTATTTCTGTAGTAGCTAGTTTCTGATCCCGGTTTTCCTATGTAGGTCACTGTTCTACATGAGCGAAAGGAAGACACTGGTGTTCTCTCTTTGGAAGTGTTTTCAAAGGCATTATCAAATACTAATTTTGGTGATTTAGAAGTGGAAATTTGTTGAGTTTTAAAGACCCAGCATTTTGGATTGGGGGTACAGCTCATTGGTAGAGTGCCACTCCAGCATGCGTAAGGCCCTCGATTGGCTCCAGGACCACAAACAAAACTCATAACATTTTAAATATCTATGATTAAAAATAAAGTTTTACAAATCAGTAGCCGCTGAGAGAGAAGGCGGTAGACCCAAGTTCTAGCTACTTTCCCCTTCTTCCATTGAGTGACGAGAAGCAAGCCATCCTCAGTTCCTTTTCTCTGTATTAACACTTAACTTTCTCTGTATTAAGGGCAGAGGAACAAACTTGGCTTCTCTCTAACTCAAAGATCTAAGGTTTGTTGCCATACCACTACTAATTCTCAACCCTCTGTTCTGCCGTTATGTCCAGTCATAAGCATGGCCCTAAACACACGCCAATACATTTTAAGGTGTATATAGTAAAGTATAATTCTAAGGCTATCACCCCTTAGATATAGCATTTTACCTTCTCTTTGCCACGGAGTCCGGCTCTCGGTGTTGTTAAGATTTGTTGCTCTTCAGAAAGGATGCTTTTTAGGAAATGTTCCATATTAGTGAAAAGGAGGAGATCTTTGCTTTTCTTAATGTACTGTCGAGAATATGAAGGACAGAGTTAATATTCTTGTTCTTATTTTAAGTACTGTTAGGTCTACTATTCCAGAAGTGAACTTAGTGAGACAGGTCATGTAAAATTCTCAGCATAACATTTGGCACATGACAGGCATATATTAAATGTTCCTATGGCCCCTCATATAGTTGACTCTGGTAGATTGTGATAATGTCAGTATGTAACTTCAGGTTCAACAGACATATATTAGAAAGTACAGTTAAAGTCTAGTGGATGGGCTGTATCAGAAAATAAAACCAACTACCATCCTTGTTCTCTGTATCAAAGGAGGAAAAACAATAAAACAGTGTAAGCAAGTCAAATTTGTATTTTGAAAATCAATAGAAGAAAAGGCAAAATCGAGCAGAGTAAGAAAGAATTTGTGAATGAGTATAAAAAGGATTGAAAAATAAGATAGTACAGTCAGGGTTGGCTGCTGACATTTGAGCAAAGACAGTGGAGATGAGGGTTGGGTAATTTAATGCCTTGGACTAGGGCTTCTGAAGCTCCACTCCACTTGATATTTTGAGTTAGATGGCTCCTTGTTGTGAGGGCTTTCTATGCATTCTAGACTAATTAGCAGTATCCTTGTTCTTAACCCACTACTTGCCAGTAGTACTTCCTTCTCCTGAGTCATGACATTAGAAATGTCTCTGACATTGCCAAACACCCTCTGGGGGACAAATCACTCCTGTTCAAGAAGCGTTGCTGTAGTGGGAAGAATGGTACAGGCAGAGGGGACACTTAATAAACTGTATACACTGTGTGTTTGGATCTGAGTAGGTGAAGTGGGCAAAGACCAGTAGGTGAGGAGAAGAGAGGGACTTGGCTCCTCCCATTTATTCCAAATGGAATGGGAGGTCACAAAATGATTGTGAGAATATCTGACTTCTTTTCTGAAGGTCACTTTTCTGTGATGAGAACAGACTGAAGAGAGGCAAGTGCAGTGTTGGGTAGGCCAATCGGTATCAAGACATCCGAACAATCAAGACATCCAGACAAGAGATGGCGGTGGCTGGGACTAAGTGATGGCAGTATCACTCACCAAACACTGGTCAGACTCTGCATGCGTTTTGAAGGTGGAACAACAGGACTTCCCTAATGGATGGACTGTGGGGTGTAAACACACAGGGGAGTGCTTCTGAAAGCCTGGTCTTGAAAAACTTGAAAAAATGGAGTTGCCATCAATAAAGATGAGCATGCTTTTAGGTGGACCTCATTAGGAATGATAATTGGATTTTGTACCTGTTTGATGATGCTTTGTAGACAAACAGGTGGACATAATTAGTAAACAATTTGATATATGAGTTGTGTTAGAGAATTAGGAAGCAAATATGTCCAGAGGACTAAATTATGGTCCTCCAATTCTGTGAGGGCAGAAAAGGGACCAGAAAGGAACAACCAGAAGTGTGGGAGGAAAACCAGAGGGAGACAATGTCCTGGCAGCTGAGTGAAGAAAGTGTACGGGAGAGGAGCGAGTGAGCAGATGTGCAATGCTGCCGAAAGACAAGGACAGAGAAGTGACTGGTCTCCGACCTACAGGAGCTGGGTTGTGACAGAATTCTGTGACCAACTTGACAGGATTGAGAGGTACCAATGTCTCCAGTAAAGCATCTTTCTCTCTCTCTCTCTCTCTCTCTCTCTCTCTCTCTCTCTCTCTCTCTCTCTCTCTCTCTCTCTCTCTCTCTCTCTTTCTGGGGCAGGTAGAACTTGCAATACATAAGAGAAGTAGGTGGATGTGAGCCTGAATGTAAACCAGTAAGCAGCATCTCTTCATGGTGTCTGTTTGGTTTCCAGCCTCCAGGTTTCTGCCTGAGTTCCCACCTTAGTTTCCCCAGACAATGGACTATAGCCCGTAAGCCAAGTAAACTTTTGCTTTCCTAAGTTGTTTTGGTCATGGTGTATATTATGTCAACAGAAACCAAATGTCCAAAGTAGGGCTACTATGCATATTGCAGATTACTTGTCTAAGTGGTCTGCTGGCCTTTGAGAGCCATGACTGCTATGCAGTAGCTACAGTTGCCAGCATCAGCACTGGCAGAGTTGGTGAGACTCCCCATCCTGTGAAGTCAGGGTGGCAAGAGCCTGAGGTACCCTGTTTCTCTTGTGCTGTTGCCTTAAGTCTCTTATGTCCCCAGTCTCTCTGTTGCTTCACTGTTCTTCTCGCCATAAAAGGCAACTTCTAAACCTGTTCCTTTGTGGGGGAGGAGTTGAATACGAGGAGCCTCTATTTGGCTATCTTGTACCTCCAGGATATTTTATTTTCAATTCTTAAAAGGATTATGAGATAATATTTTCATATAGGTCCTTAATAATGATATATTGTTAAGACCATGATCAAGTTTGCATAGAAAACAGCACATTATGTTTGGATAAATGTGGGAGTATTTGGTCACTTGTATTTAGTTTCCGAGTCACAATGGGATTACAATAGACTTCTGCTTATTTATTGATAATAGGCAGTGACAACTCAAGGAAGTGTTGGAACTATCTGAATGGGCCACACACCAAGGCCTTTTCTTTGTGAAGGAGTTGATTTTTAACTAAGACCATGTGATATCCGAGACAAATTTAGTTACCTCTTCTGATGACTGTCTTGATAAGCAAGGCTCACACTTCCTCTCAATGAGTTTAGAAAGGAGATCTCTTTCCTTTTCAGAGGTGGGCTGCTCTTTCAGCAGAACAGCACTTAGGCTTTGGTCAGACTTACTGTCCCAGGAAACTGCTGACATCTGCAATGTAGTAGAGAAAGCCTCCTTGAAGTAGGCTTTCAGCCCCTGGTTAAGGAAGAGAAAGGACAGCTCAGTATGACTTTGCAGTAATTGCTACTAAAGCTCCCAAATGATGGTTGAAAGGAAAACGGGGCTTGAGACCCTCTTCACCTGCTCTTTCCCAAGCAATTCTGGTGAACTTTATGTGTGGACAGTGCTGCCACAGCTGAGATGCTGTTCTCAGAGCTAGTCAGCATCCCCAGTAGAGCATGCATTCCACCATGTGCTGTTACGGGAAGTTTGACCAGGAACAGCCTTTCCCCAGTCAGGGAGGCCGCCAACGGACTCCAATAGACCCCAAATATAGCAAAGTTTACAGCATTTATTGTCCTGGGGAATGACATCTGAGGCACAGAGAAAGAGAAGTTCGGTACATATCTTGACTACCTCATAAAATGACCCCAGAAATCTGGGGTTGGAGTCTTGGTTGAAGTCCCCAGTAGTGAGGTGGGCCAGGCAGTGGATCAACAGCAGAATGAAACTTCCCACAGAGGCCAAACACTCTCTCCCAACAAACAGGGTGTTTTCAGCGCTCTGCGTGGAAAAGATGCCCCGGGCAAAGACATGTCAATCTTGTGAGCATTTCCACATTTCTCAGTTCACTTAAAATAAGACTCACTGGGCATAATTATAATTAAGATTTACTGAAAGGAAGCTTCAGAGACAAAGGAAGTTTGTTTTAGTTCAACTTTGAAAAAATATCTTTGCCTAATTTCTCCCATTTATTTAATCTGCTGCCTTTCCCAGTCTCTCTCTCTCTCTCTCTCTCTCTCTCTCTCTCTCTCTCTCTCTCTCTCTCTCTCTCTCTCTCTCTCTCTCTCTCTCTCTCTCTCTCTCTCTCTCTCTCTCCCTCTCCCTCTGTGTGTGTGTATGGAGGTCACAACTTGAGGGAGTCAGTTCTCTCCTGGGGAGCAGACTCAGGTTGCCTGGCTTGGTGACAATCACCCTCATCCACCAAGCCATCTCAGTGGCCCTCTCTTGTTTTAGAACACTTCCATTTATGGAAGACAGACTATTAGAGATTCGGAACCAGGTGACTCATCTGTCTCTTCTTGGGGCCACCTGATCAGGAGTTTTCCCTAGGCAGTGCTTTTCCAGCCTCAGGTTGAAGGGGAATTGTCAGAGAGGTTGTAGAATTGTCAAAGCCCATTCCAGAGTCTGCTCTGGGGCATTTGCCTTTTCCTCAAGCTCCCTAGGCAGTTGATACAGTCAGTCCAAGACCACAGTTCAAGAGAAATGGCCTTAGAGATCTTAGGCTCTGTCCTTTTTGCTTTTATTGTCATCAGGTTGTCAAACCACTTGTGAGACATCTTACCTGAGAGGTCATCCTCATCTATTCTCCCAGGAGGCAGTAGATTAGCACAGAAAACCTTAAGATGGTTGGAATGGGTCTGAGAGCTGTATCTTGAACTAGGGGTGGATTAGGGGGATGAGGTGTGTGACACATACATCAGAACTAGACTTTCAACTTTTGCTAACACTTAGACTATTATATAACCTCTCTAGGCCTCAACTGTCCAGCTATAAAATGGAGGCAAAGAGTACCTGTCCTGTAGGTTGCTGAAATTGAAAACAGTACAACACATAGAAGGCACCTAATGAAAAGCCTGGCACCTTGTCTATGAGAATCCCCCCTCCAGTCATTAGTAAAATGGAGCTAAATTCTTGCTGAGCTCACAGTTCTTTGAAGGTCAAATGAAATACTGCTTCAAGGGTACTCTGTATGAGCATTTATTTATTATCTATCTATCTATCTATCTATCTATCTATCTATCCTGGGGGTTCTTATTAAAGCCCCCACTAATCCACAACTAACTTAGTTTAAACTGTTTCTTGGTCACATTGACTTGCATTTCTCCTTAGAATAGTTTACCAATGGACTGTCATAGTGCTTAAAGTTCATGTACATCAGCTTGGAGCTACCAGGAAGGGACTTCCAGTCTACGGACTTGAGGAACTATGGAGGCAGGAAAGGTATAGGACCATTTCTGTAATGAGATATGATTGTGAAAGATACCCTGAAAGATGCCCATGACTCTTACGGGAAATACCAGTTTGGCAACACCAGATGTACAATGGCATAGATCCATAAATGGGCAAGAAGCCATTATGCTTCACTGGGCACCAGCCAGGACTTTTACTTTGCTGATTAGAAAAGCTCTTACTCACTGACATTTATTATGTTTTAGTTAAATGGCCTTTTCCCCCGTCAAAGGAGAATAAAATTCATTAGGGTTTGAGGTAGAAAAATGTTTTATAAAATTGGTTCCTTTTGCTTCTGTGTGTTTTGACCAGATTCCAGAATCCAAAAGCCCCCATCTAGGGATGAATTTGCATCACCTGATAGAAGAAGCAACCTTCAAAGGCATTTCCTGTGACTTCCATGGCAGGCAGATGAGAAGCAATCTGTAGGGTGGTTTCCGGAGCCTGAACGGCAAACAAAACCAAAACTCACCCTTTGCTAAAAAGTTGTCCTTGGCTATCTATCATCAAACATAGTAGGAAATAAGTGCCCTGGAACATCCATTTAAACTATAAGTACATTCAGGGGAAGTGGAGTCAGAATACACTGCAGGAAGATGAAATTTTCAGCTCTGTATTTTATATTTATGCCAACCATGATTGGTAGGAACAATCATTTCAGCCCTCTGCTTCTCCTAGACTGACAGACCCAGAGCTTGGATTCTAACCCTGATCCTACCTTCATGGTTATGAGCATGGGTAAGCTGACCCAATCACTCTGTGTGACTCTCATTTTGAAAGTGGAAAAAAAACCTGTATCAGTGTCAGAGTTTTGAAACACTTGAGTTGCCTTATGAAAATTATCAACATTATCTGGCATCCAGACAGTGTTTGATTCATTTCTGCACATGGCTACTATCAATCAAAAGATTTGACTTGAGACTGCTGTCATAGCTCCCATCAGCTGCCCTAAGGGAGGCAGTTCACCTCTGCAGGAACTTCTTCCTGGAGAGAATTCGCTGCCTCGTGAATCTCTTCCTGGACACCCTGACCTCCACAGCTTCCTGGGAGACTACCTCACGGAATGCCAGAGACAGACGTACCTGCATCTGGGGGATGAGGAGGTGCAGGACAGAGAGACCATACTGGTAAACTACGAACTCCCAGGCAGAAAGGTGCGTGGCTTGCACAGTTATCAGCTCTCCCTGCATTGTCTGAGTCTTTAGGAGATTCTGCAAAGAGTTTCCTGGGCCTACAGAAATCAAGACAAGTTAGTGATAATTTCACTGATTTTTTTCATGTGGTAATGATAAGTTAACAATAACAATAAAATGACCATTCAACTTAGGAAAATGTTTATTCCATCCATCCATCCATCCATCCATCTATCCATCATCCATCCATCCATCCATCCATCAGTCCATCCTCCAGGGAGGTCTGTGCTTCAGGCTTCCCTAGTCATCTGCATGGAAAAATGAGCCCCAGTCAACAGAAACAGAGGACCTAGAAGGAGGCACAGAAGAGATGGCAGTATTTCCTTAGTCGTAGATCCAAAGTTGTTTGGATCATTAGATATGCTATACCCAGAATATCATCTGGCATACAGCAAGCACTCAATTCATGTTTGATGTACTCAGATTTTTACTTATCCATAAAATTGTCTCTAGTGGGCCTTCAGATAATTGATCTAAATGTGACTTTAGACACTTCTATTGTCTTATTCTAAGAGGACAATGAAAAATGGCTTGGCCAGCAATATGTAATAACAAGAACAGAAGTAGCTATCAGGAGACCTGTGTCCTGGCACAGGCTGTGTAATCCCTTGAGAGAGGCACACACTTCTCTGAGTACTGTCTCTCTTATTTATATAAGAAATGAATAATAGAATTAGAGTTAGGTTTTCTGGGTGCAAACATGACAGTACACATAAGAATGTTTTTACAGTGGTTTGAGAGGGTAATCCTTGAATGAGGGTTCATGTCTCTGCCCATATTTCTCACCAACCTCCAGAATCAGAATCAGTAATCTTTTTTTTTGGGGGGTCCAGGACCAAGTAGTATATAATTTAGGCTTTGCCAGCCAAGAGCCACAAATGGAGTTCAAAGTATTTTTTTTAATCTTCATACTAGGAGACAGAGCTCACTTTCCTACAAGCCTGTCCTGGCTTTCCTGATGGGCACCAGTCTGCTTTCCTGGGCACTCCCCCAGAGGACGTTACCTGTATCTCTTTTGGCAGTGCCTCACGGTCCTGGATGGTTTTTGTAGGATGCAGGTTGAGAGTGAAGGTTCTCTGGGGAAGGTTCCCCGAGTTTCAGCTGAGCCACACACCAACAAATGACTCTTTGACAGAGCCTTCAGTTTACATCTCTATAAAGTACTAATACCTACCTTTCCAGGTTGTTGTAAATGAGTCACCATAGGTTTAGAACAGTGCATGACATTGTAAAACACCCCACATTGGCAAAATGATCTGGGTGCTCTTTTGGGGGGGCAAAATATTCTTTCTGTTGGTTCTAATTTGTATCCTTGTATCTCACATTTCCCGTGAACTCCCTTTTAACACGTTGATTAAGTATCAAGATTTAGACTCAGCATTTGATTGAAAGGTAGAATACCTTTAGGAACTTTCTTCTAAGAATTGACTAGATGGCTGGGCAATGTGGTGCATGTCATTAATCTCAGCACTCAGGAGGCAGAGGTAGGAGGATCTCTGTGAGTTTGAGGCCAGCCTCAAAAGGCTCCAAAGTTACACAGTGAAACCCTGTCTCAAACTCCCCCCCCCCAAAAAAAAACAATTGACTAGGTTATGGGTCAATGATACTTTGATTCTTGCCTGATATGTCTTATATGGAAAAATCCCTTGGGAGACTTAATAGGTGTGGAGGCAGGGAGGAAACAATGCCTGGTAAGACAGGATCCAGTATCCTTGGGTTCTTAGTTTTGGGGCTTAGAGGTTACATCATCATTTACCTTGAGTGCACCGTAGTAATTTTCAAGGGAAAAGAGATTACCTGGTCTGTGTGGTCTGTGCTGTATTTGTCTTTGTAGTTCAGCTCTTTCCCTGGGGTCTTGGAACGAGGTATCTATTTTCTTCATGATGGAGAATAATGGTGAGGTCCAGATATCGTCAGCTTTGTCTGCATCTGAAGATGAGTGAGTGAGTAAAAGCATAGTAATGTAGCCAAAGTGAAAGAAGAGTCTACGAGTCAGGCCTGGTCATTCAGGCCTATAATCCCTGCTGCTTGGGAGGCAGAGATAAGAGGATCACAAGTTCAAGGCACGCCTGGGCTACAGAGTGAGCTCCAGACTGCTCTGCACAATTTAGCAAAACTTTTTCTTATAATAAAAGATGGGAGAAAAAACACAGGCTAGAGATATAGTTCAGTGGTAGGGTACTTACCTAACATGTGTGAACCCCTAGGTTAACCCCCAGTACAGCTAACTAGATCTCTTTCCCTTCTCTCTCTTCTCCTCTACCCTACCCCCTCAAATATGGTGACAGGCAACCTCTAAGGTGGCTTCAATGATCTCTCACAATGTGTATGTCAGCTCCTGTATGAGGTTCCTCCCCTTGAGTGTGGTTGGATTTAGTGATTCATTTCAGCAGAATGAAATAGGG